AGAACATGCCAGAAACTTTTCCTAGCTTGGAAATTTTACCGTTGATGTTAACTGGCTCTTTCTGCCTGGTGGGATGGGGACAACGTGCCCCTTTATTCCTGAGCTACACGGCCATTGATGGAGCTTCCACAAGTACAGGTTATTAGCTCTCCTCATCTTTCAAAATGCAGCCTGGCAGGGGCTGGACGATGGCAGGGGTTCAGAGTCCTGCTTGTACAGCACAATCAGGCATCCCCAGTTCTCCTGACTCCAGTCAGTCAGTCATGGTCACTGCACTGCTCACCGCACCATTTTAATGGAGTCACATGCTGGCTGCTCCTAGTTTGACTGGGAGCTCGCCCCTTCCCTAACCATGGGGAAAACAAGGTTAACCTTCTTCCCATCCTAGACAGAGTCATCTGTCTTTGAACTCATGGACCACAGCAGTGAAGGAATCTGGACTTTGGGGCTGGCAGCAGCGGGTCCTTGTCTCTCAAGGCTACAAATGAATTATGACTCTTGACAGGGAACCACTGGAGTGCAGCCTTTGTGTCCCCCTTAAAACCCCACTGTTCCCACTGAGAGTTAGAATCACAGCCTCTGGGACAGCAGTCCCCCGTGTTTCTCCTTTGCTCACAAAGCAATAAAACTTCCTTTCCCTCTTTCTCAAAACCTTGTCCTTGTTATTGGACTGGCGCCTGGGGGAAGGTATCACCAACTCATAGGAGGCCTCATTATAGATCTTTATCACAGTAGCCCTTTGCCAATGCCAGGTATATACAACAGGATTCTGCAAATAAGTAAATACAGTGAGGATGAAGGGTGGCAAAGTTCCAGAGGTCCAAGAAGGAAGCAATAAACACAGAAAGGTGGAAAGAAAGGAAAACGTAGAACAAACTCTGCTTTTGGACTCTTGCTCACGATGCGGGTGTAAGTCACAATTCTCTTTGCATACAGAGAGGACACCTTTGGGTCTAAAGTCCATGTCCTCCAACAAAAAGGAATAGGGATCCTTGGAGGTATGGATGAAGTGATGGCATTTTTATCTTCCCAGGAACCAGAAAACCACACATTAAGCATGACAAAGAGGGGTCCTTTACAGTCACAAAACACACCCCTTAGGGGGATACAGTGGACCTTGAAATGATGAAGGATAATCCATCAGAAATACAAGTAGTAGTAGATAAAACACAGTCGGGATGAGATGCTTCAAGCACCTCTCCTACTTCTTTCATAAAGTTGCCTTGAGAATTAAAAGAGATTGTGCCTCTAAAACATTTATTCTGATTTCACACATAGTAATAATTGTTCAAAATTTGTAGCTATTTTTTATTAAATATATCCTCATTTTTAAGTGGAGCAAATGAAGCTAGAGAAGTGACATAATTGTCACATATATGTTATCAGCAGAACCAAGATTGTGAACCCAGGTCTGTCTGACTCCACATTGATCTTTTCACTTTTTTGTGTATGAACATATGTATATGTTTCAGTCGACAAAAACACATATATAATTGTCCTGGATTTGTAAATATCTTGCAGATGATGTTCTGGTTCCCCAATACTGAGTGGACTTATCAATTTAACAAACTAAATGCTTCCTTGGTGATCTGAAAGAATTATGATTGAATGACTAACATCTCCAAAAAAAATAATATTAGCAATAAATACTCCTAGCCTAAGAAGAGTTGATGTACTGTTTGTGTATTTAAAGATATTGAGAAGACTTCATTAGATAATAATCGATGAATACTGGTTATAATAAAAGCCTTACAATTTGGCTGCCCCCCCCAAAAGCAGCTCTCTCCATAAACGATGTCCATCACTGCGATCACAAACACCGTACATACATGCACCTGGCCCTCAAAATTTTCAAAGTCCTTTAATGGAACTCCATTTCAAAGCCTCATTTCAGGCAGCGGACTACACTTGGCCCAAAACCACTACTTTTCCAACCTCTTCTCAAGATCATTGTCTTACTTCCTTTCCTGGGGGTACAGTAGCTGTGGCTGATTCACACCTGACTGGGCTGACAAAATCCACAGTTGTTCTCTGAGAACACGCTAATGCATCTGCCAGACTGGAGAATGAATGGGAGGTCCTGGAATCCATGGCTCCCGCACCTCTCAGTTCCAACCCTGGCCTTTCTGTGTAATTCTCCCACTGGTGTGAAGCTGCTTTGGAATGATGACTTCCCCAGGGACCTGCAGCTGCCACAGCTCCCGCTGGCCCTTTCTCTCCTGGGAGTTCCTGCTCCATGGGTCAGGAAGCCCAGGGGGCAGTGACAGAAGCCAAGTTCCATTAGGGCCTGGGATTTGGTCCTGTTGGCTTCACTCCAGTGCCTGGCATGTAAAATGGGATCGACAAGAATTTGTGAGTGGAAACACAGCCTCCACAAGCTATTCCTGACTACCCCACTCCCTTAAAATGGAGAAGTAACCACTGGATGGTTGGGAGGTCCCACTAGACCTGTAAAACAAACCCAGAAGCAAACCCTGTTTATTCCGGGGGCCAGGGAGTTACGGTGGAATTAGGAATCCCAGGACTGGGGCTGAGCTCACAGCCACTTCTCTGTGATGCTGAAAGCTTTAAAACGACACAGTTACCTCGTTAGATGCTCTCTGAAGGCAAGGCAGGAAGCTTCATGGAGTATACCTGTGGGATTTAGGTAACATCCTTCCCTCTGGGCGAGCAACCCCCCAACACACACACACACACACACACACACACACACACGCGCGCGCGCGCGCACGTGCGCGCGCACGCATGCGCGCACGCATGCGTCAAGGGGCTCTGTGTTTGACCCCTGAACCATGTCTGTAGGCAGGATGCACCTCTCCCACAGAGTGGCTCAAGGGGGCTGAAGGGTACCATATGGGCAATGTTTTTGTTTAAAAAATCCATTGAGGACCTAATGGCATGCTAGAAAATTTTATTCCCAGGGAGTGAATGATGAATTAACCACAGATGAGCATTATTGCCACTCAGGTAATGCATTTATTGAACTTAATAACATGCAACGTGCTCCTGGTATCTACCAGGCACTATTGTACATGCTGGCTGGTGGGTTAATGAAAACAAACAAAAACTGCCCTCTTTTCATGGAATTACCATACTAGTATGGGAAAGAAGGGACATAGGTAAACACTAAATTTAATAGGTTGAGATGGTGTCAACAGATGGAGAATATTGTGGAAAAATAAAATTTGGGCAGATAGCCGAAGGAGGACTCAAAACTGAAGGCAAGCTGTGACTTTAAATCCTGCCCATTAATGGGCTGGCCCTGCAGCCTCTTAAGTACTTTGCCTCCCTGGGTTACTTCAAAGTCATACGAGACCACCCACCATCAGCACAGAATCCACTCCTGGCCATGGAAAGCCAAGAATTCAATCACCCCCTGCTTGGGCTGACTAAAACCCACTGTTTCACTCCGAGAGCTCTCTTTCACATTGGCCAAAGAGGAGAATTAAATGGGTAGTGGTGGGATCCACAGCCCACGCATCTGTCAACATCCACTGTGGCCTTCCGTGTAATTAATAGCAACGTTACTTCTATCCTACAATCAGGAACCAGTTTTAGCATCTTTTTGAACAGATTAGGCACATCTCTAAAGTGGGACCATGGTCCCCAGGGAGCTACCCAGTAAGTCTACAAGAAAAGGCTAATTTAATGTATTGTTTGGGCTCACTAAGCTTAGCTTTTCTTTAATGGTTTAATACCAGGCCCTTTACTGCCCATGGGAATAAAGACCAACAGGAAACAAAGGGTTTTGCTTTTACAATATGTGCACAGGGGTCATAGAAACTGCTCTCCAAATATAGCAGGCCTGAACGCTCTCTACTATAACCACATCAACGATGTCATTTGGTTGAGGTACGTAACCGGCAGGAAGCTTCAGAGAATCCAAAGTGAAAAAGATGGTGTCGTCCACCACACCATGTCGCCCATGTACACTGCTAATGCAGACCTGTGATGAGAAATGATGGGAATGGTTGTGTAAAAGCACAGTCCATCCTCACCAGCTCTGCACCTCCTCACTCTGCCTCTAACCTGTGGGTCAACTCCAACCCTGGCACTGATTTCCCAACCTGCCTGGCACACTGGCAATGCCAGGGGTGCTTTTAAAACACACCAGTGCCAAGGTCCCACCTCATGCCAATTAAATTGAAATCTCTGGAGACGGGCCCCGAGACTGTGACCAGAGACCTTGGGCTAAATATTACCCACAATAGACATGGATCCTATTTCCCTGAGTTTCCTACTCATCTTCAGGCTGCAGTACCCAAGTCATTACCCAGCTTTTGCCAGTAAGCTCCAGACTCACAACCCACCTCATTCATTTTTTCCCCAAACTTTCTGGCACACAAATTGCTTTTCCTTAACTGTTGCTCTCAGAATTTTTTGTTGTTGTCTGTTTTGGTACTGGGGATTAGACCCAGGGGTACTCTACCATCCCCAGTTACATCCCCAGCCCCTTTAAATTTATTTTTTTAGACAGGGAAAAACTAAGCTGCTGAGGCTAGTCTCCAAACTTTGATCCTCCTGCCTCGGCCTCCAAAGGAGTTGGAATTACAGGTATGTGTCACCATGCTGGAAAATTTCTCTCTTTTTCTTTCTTTCTCTCTTTCTCTCCTTGTCTTCCTTCCTTCCTTCCTTCCTTTCTTCCTTTCTTTTCTTTTCTTTTTTTTTTTTTTTTTTTGGTGATCCTGGGAACTGAACTCAGCTGAACTCAGGACATGGCCCATGCTAGGCAGATGCCTTACCACGGAGCCACTCCCATATCCCTCTAATAACTTTCTAATACAAAAAAAAAAAAAAAAACAACTACATAACTTAGAAAGTAATTATGCATGTGGTCTACATTACTTTTTATTTAGATCCTTTTGAAAGCCCTTCCTTTTCTATAAGAAAATAGGTTTCTGTTTGGCAAGAAATACATTTTCTAGATTTCTAACCACACCCAACAGTCTTTCCCTCAAGAAAATTATCGTTAAAGGAAGGATAGGCAGAAACGAATGACCAGTGAAACATGGACACAGATTACCTCATCCACATGCCTACAGTTCATGGGCTTCACGGAGAGGGCATTGATGTTTGAGGTGCCCGGCTGCACGCAATACTCGACCTCTAGCCAGTCGCCCTTATAAGGCACGAAGCCTAAAATAACCATGGAGAGATTTCAGCGTCATTATCTCTTCACTTAGGCCACATTCCATTTCATAAGTCCCTTTGACATGGCAATACCCTAACACACCTTCTATTGTATGTAAAGTACATTCTGTACACATTTAAACAGACATATAAATCATATCAGTCCTGCTCTTGGAAAGTCAGTTTACATGCCTGTAGCCACCGTTTCTCCTGTCCCGATTTAACAAAGTCAAATGCGGAAAAGTGTCAACCACGTGTCACAGCCAACTTTTTGGCAGCGGCACGGGATTCACTAATCAACTAGCAACATTCACAACTCCTTTGGGAGAGTCAGCTAAGGACATAGGTGAGAGCACATGATTGAACTTGGGTACCTGCCAGTATAGCATTGGCTAGAAACAAAATCTTGGAACTTATCTGCCGATCACAAATAGAATGCAAAAATGAGCATGTGCACACATGTGCGCACACGCACGCACGCACGCGCGCGCGCGCGCGCGCACACACACACACACACACACACAGAGGTATAAGGCTGTCTCCAATCTCATTTTGAAGCATTTCATTTTTTTGGAGAAGGGTATCCTTTTCACTTGCAGAATGTTTTCCTTGACTTAACATTACACACATAAGTGAAATTTTATATAGACATTAAGGACTGCATTCACACAAAGGAGGGAATCGCTGATGTTTTTATGAATATCACCTGTCTGTCCCTGTATCGTGCATTTTTTTCAATTCCTAGGGCCCACGTCACATATCCAAGAGCTGTAAACTGCAGCCAAGTACGTAATAGCCATAGCTCTTTCTCTGCAAATGCAAAACATACCATCACGAACGATAGACAGTGAGAAGCAAGTATCTTTATTAATGTAGACCGCGTCCTTTGTCACTAAGGTGGCACGACTGATTAAAACACTGGTTCCAAGGTCAGATGGCCCAGAATCATCAAAATGGTCAGATATAGCATCCACCTGTAACACATGGAAACGCTTATTTCAAACAAAACTAATTTTTACAACAAGAGCGTGTATGATCCCCTAAGAATCTCCCTCATAACAACTACAATTCAATGAGTTAGCCTGGTCATTGTAGGTTTGCAAGACATACGATTCCTGTGTCAGAGACAAAGGACTTTGTGACTCACAGCAAATACAGCCACTGCCCACCTCTGTTGAACCGTTGGTGTTCAGGAAATATCTTAAACTACCCTCTTTGACACTAGTCCATATATTTCGCATGACAAGTACATCATAAACATGAGAGGATGCTAAGAATAACGTCTGTGCTTTGTGGATTACAAAACCGCATCCAAAATGTTAATTGTGCATCCGTGTTTAATGTGTTCACAGCACTAGGCCCAAATATGAAAAATATAATGTCCTTGCCAGAGAGGAATTCAAAGTTCAATAGAGAAAATATCTAGTTCTGAACAAGTTGTGATAATGGCTATAAATCATGTTTGAAAATGGGTCTTGCAAATCCCCAGGGGGAGAACATTTTAGCCTTGGAGAAAACGGGGTTTTATTGGGAGGAGGTGAGACTTGAGCTTTGTCTGCAAGAAGACGAAGTCTTTACCTGGTCAAAGGGGGTGGGGGCAGGTGCAGAGAGAGACAGGAACAACAAACACAGGTTGGGAGAACAGGGAGGAAAACACAATTTTCAAGATCTGGTCCTGGGGGAGAAAAACATGAGAGAGAGTTGGAGAAATAACCACGACAGGAAGAGATCTAAAAATGGCAAGTGGCATTAGGGCCTAGTTTTTCTACCACAGAGAGGGTACAAATATTTCAGCTCATCAGAAGTAACGATCCTTATTTAAAATTGTTTTTGATTAGAGCATGATGGCACACTCCTGTCATCCCAGTGGCTTGGGAGGTTGAGGCAGGAAGATCGCGAGTTCAAAGCCAGCCTCAGCAAATTAGCGAGACCCTAAGCAACTTAGCAAGACCCGGTCTCTAAATAAAATATATAAAGGGCTGGGGATGTGGCTCATTGGTGAAGCACCCCTGGGTTCAGTCCCCGCTACCAAAAAAAAAAAAAAAATGTTTTTAATTACACAAACAATACATTCTCATTAAAGACAAAAGGAAAAGACAGATGAATATGAAGCAGAAAACAAGCACCCATCATTTACAGTTTTCCATTGCCTAGAATATATTATGGTATCAACTGTATTATTTCATTCATCATGTTCCAGACATTTTTTTCTGTGAATAAATATATGCCCAGTTTCCAAAACAAAACTTAATATGCCATGCAGTGTTACAGGTTTCAGGTCCTAATCTTTCTCATAAAACAAGACTACTGAAAGGGTAATATAGCATCCCTATGAATGGATTGTCATAATCAATCAATCCAATCCCACATTATGTGTTATTTAGTTTGTATCCTTTGCAATGCATCGCCTACCCCTCTCATTGACTTCTGTAGCGCCAAAGTCCTAGGAGTGATATTTTTTGGTTCAAAGATTTCTGTTGGAAACATGAGCCCCCAAGATGTAACGTTTTTTCCACGTATTTTCTAAAGCCTATTTCATTGCTACTGCTATATCAAAACTGATGTCTTTCCAGCTGTCAATACCAATCTCAAGGTCCTTTTGCCCAGATTCACTTTCTTTGGGGAAGAAAGCACCAGGCTCCTGGCTGTCTATCCAGCACCACTTTCGTCAGAATCCAAGTGGGTGATCCTTCATATACCCTCTCATAACTCTGTGCCCTGACTCCACACTAGCTCACAGCCATACTGTACAGCAGGCTGGCGCCCCACCACACCCTGCCCCCACCCAGATTACACGTCAAACTCCTCTCCCAAATTCCTTTTCTTTTCCCTTGCTACCATCACTAACACAGTAGGGCATACAGACAGATTCAAAGGCTTATGAAGAAACATCTTACCATGCACATGGCCTTTCCTTTCCCATCAACAGGGGGATAGAGTGAATTGATCATCCAATTCACCGTAAGGGACAACTGGGTAGCAATTAGCAAGCCAAGATATGGGTCCTTCTCTCAGACCGCTCACCTGAATCAAATCCAGGCTGGTCAAATGTTGACATGTAAATGCACAGAGAACTTTCAGAAGAAAAGGCAAGTGAATGTGTGTGCACATTATGAGTTGGAATTAGCCCAAGAATTCCTGCTGAACACAAAAGCCACATGGACAACATGGACATACTTATCTTACAGGAAAAATAAACATATACAATAAAGAAAAAAGATGGTGTTGGAGGAAATAATGCAAGAACTCCATACCTTAATGAAGCTACGAATAAGAAGTTTAAAATGCACCGTGTTTGACGTATGTATTCCACCTTGAACGCATACCTCAGAAAAGGAATATATATATATATATATTTTATATATATATATATATATATACATACATATATATATACACATACACACACATACACATATATATGTATTTTTAGTTGTAGATGGACGCAATACCTTTATTTTATTGTTTTTACATGGTGCTGAGAATCGAACCCAGTGCCTCACGTTAGGCAAGCATTCTACCACCGAGCCACAACTTGAGCCAGAAGATGGCTCTTTACCAGAAAATCTGTAGAATTTTATAGAGTCCAATGATATCATCATTAACAATTATTTATTTATTATTAATTAATTAATTAATTAATTTGGTACTAGGGATTGAACTCAGGGGGCACTCAACCACTGAGCCACATCCCCAGCCCTCCATCTTACTTTGATGGCTTTCAACACATGAGTTGCTTTATCTTCTTCCACAAGTGCAGTAACCTTTTGACCAGCTTTCAGAGGCACATTACCAGTCACAGCATCAGTACTGAAGTAGATGGACCCATCAATCCGGCCATAATCAGTACAGAAAGTTGTCACAACCCCCTGTATAGATCTCAAATTGCTGTCACCTATGACACAGAAAAACAAAGATCACATCATTTAAGCTCCAATGCAAATGCCCACTACAAATAAGTCCTACACTGACCCTGAGCACATTTCTTCACTCCTCGGACCTGTTTTCACCTTTAAACAACGTCGATAAGTTTCTGTGCCTCGGGGTTGGTGCGAGTATTAACTGACACATAGATGCCACCTGTTAGGAGCTGTGAGTGCCCTGCCCAAGTGAGAGTGTGAATGTTGATGCGATCACCATGGCTGCATGCAGGAGACTCTAAGCTTCCAGGACGGCTGCAACGACCCTTCCTCAACATCACCAGCAGGATCTCCAGATCCTTCAACATCTCCCGGAAGCAATAAAAGGTTTCGGGAGACGTTAAGACTCGCGCCCTCGGCTTCAAATACATGCCTATTTGGGTTAGAGACCAAGTTCACCCCCGAATTAGGGCGGTTCACGTCTCGGGAAATGGAAAGGGGTGTCACGCAAGGGGGTGGCAGCCGCAGGGCCTTCTCTGTGGCCGTCTAAACACCCCTCCCCTTTGGACCAACGGGAGACTTAAGATCGAGGTTCGAAGAGGACCCTGGGCCACCCTCACTCCAGGCACACCATGGCAGCACCCCCGCTGCCCTTCCGGCTAGGCCCGAGCCCCGTGAGCCCCGTGAGCCCCGTGAGCCCCGTGAGCCTGGGCGGGCTGAGGAGAGGCCCCCTCTGAGGAGGCTCCTCCTGTGGAGGCCAAGGGGACTCACAGAGGACTACCTTGCAGCAGCCTCTGCTGCCCCTCATCGGGTTCCGCCCTCTTCCGAAGTAAGGCAATAAACCCTCTCAGGATCCTGAGCATGTTGCTACCACCACAGGCCTGGGGGCCGCCCTCGCCACACAGACCAAGCACCAGGCCTCCTCTGTGGGACGCCCTAGCGTCACAGCGCCCCCTTGACCCCTCTGCTTCTCTTCCTCAGCCTCTGTCAGGTGGGACCACGGAACTGCTAGTGAGCAGCCCTCAGGTGAGCCAGGGTCATGGCGCCCCCACCCGGGCTCACAGGTGTGCCTTAACCTCCCCAGACTGAGAGGGCCCTCCAGGGCACACCTCTTTCCACCTTCCAACCAATGGAAATGCAACACCACAGAACATGCCCCCTGCACCCTGAGCACACTGGTGAGACTATCCTAAGGGGCCCTTAGATCTGATGGGTGGAGCCTCAATTTCCCCACCCGTTGCTTCTTATTGGTTGCAGACACCCACATGATCATCAGCTGCATTCCCATTGGTTGGAAGGTGGAAAGAGGTGTGCCCTGGAGGTCCTCGGGCGTCTGGAAGCTCTCTTTCGCCCAGTCCCAGACGTCTTCCAGGCCTGCCCTAGGTGGCGCCCTCCATTCTCTAGAAGGCGGGAAAGAGCCACAGTTCCCTGGGAGCTTCAGGTGGGTGGCTGCCCCTACTTGGCCCACGTGGTCTGCGCAGGCACGAGCTCCTTCCTCAGCCCAGGGCTTCGGAACTAGCTGCCTCGGATCCTGACGGGGGCCGCAGGGTGTGAAGAAGAGTGATCGACCAGCAGCAGGTCATGGTTGGGGACATGGCTCAGAGAGCCCCAGGGAGGTCCATTCTCATCCCTAGGGCCTGGGATGGACAGGAGCGACAGTGGCATGAGCCTGTGGGGCCCTGGAGCTGGGGGAGGGACAGGGTCCGGGGGGGGGGGGGCTAGTGGGTCTGTGAGACTTGTGTGTCGGTAGCTGGACTCCCCATGTGCCCAGTGTCCCCAGTCAGCTTCCTGGGCACAGAGAAAGCCCCCTACCGGGGGTCCTCAGAGTGGGAGGAGCCATCCTCAGGGACTACGCTGTGTGCTAACCTCTTGCTTCCTCTTTTCTTTCTTTCCTCCTTGCTTCCTTTCTTAAGTTTTAGTTTTTTTCTATCCTTTCCTTTTTTTTTTTTTTCTGAACTAGGGATGGAACCCAAAAGTGCTTGACCACTGAGTTACATCCCCAGCCCCCTTTACTTTTATTTTGAGACATGGTTTCCCTAGGTTGCAGAGGACGGTGTGGAACTTGAGATCCTCCTGCCCTGGCCCTGGAGCAGCTGGGATTACAGGCTTGTACCGAAGTCAGCCACGTGCCCTCTTTTCACACACTGCTTTCTTCCCAGGCCTGGTGAAGGCACATCCATCCAGGATGGCATGGGGCTCTAGAGACCAGACGCCCCCTAGTGAAGTGAAGTGGAGCTGTGAAGGGCCCATGGAGGGAAAGCCGAGGGTCGTTTCCCTGGTAGACCTCGTGGAGGGTTTCCGGTCAGTCAGGGGAGGATTGGTCACCTGTGAGGCTGGAGCCCATGTGTGGGTGGTCCACAGCCAAAGGCTTCCAGCAACCATTAGGTGCCTGGGCTAGAAAACTGGAAGCCTCCTAGGAAGGAGGCAGGACCAGCAAATACAGTCCTTCCTGGTTATCCCTAGAGCACTGGCTCTCTGAGGCCCTGGGCACCAACATGCTCCCATGCTCAATCCATTTCTGGAAAATGGCCTTAAATTTGAACCGAACCTACGCACAACCTCCCATCTGCTCTAAACCACTCTAGATGACTTATAATTCATAATGCAATGTAAACACTGTGGGAATAGTTGTTGTGATACTGTGTGGCTAAGAAACAATGACGAGGAAAAAAGGTCGGTATCCATCGCGGACAGATGCAGTTTTCTCCCCAGCATCTTCAGTGTGGGGTTGTTGGTTGCATCCCATCAGGCCCAACCCCAGCGGGCCAAATGTAACTTTGGGCAGCACTTCCTCTGCGCAGGGACTCTGCTCTTTGCCCGAACTTGGATCTTCCCAGGATATTTTAGGAAGTGCACGCGATGAGTATCCTCCTGTTACAGACAGAGGCACGGGGTGTCCCTTAGGAAACCTTGCCCAGGAACAGTGTGGGGGCGGGGTGTTGATTCTGGAGGATTGGGGCGGGGGAGAGAATCATGACCATTTCTTTTCCATGTTCCTTCTCAGGGAGGAGGACAGGTAGGCCAGCAAAAGCCGAGAGAGAGAGGACCCACGCTGCACCAGAAGATCGAGGTCCTGAGACCTGTGGAGACAGGTATGTGACCAGCAGTGTGACTGCAGATACTGTCCCAAGAGGATTTGGATGTTTTGTAGATGTTGTAGATGCAGGAGACCGTGGGCACAGACCTCAGCACCACGTCCCTCTGGTGGTTTGGATGTGACTTTGGACAACTTGGTTCACACCCTTGATCCTCAGTTCTGTTCCCTCATCCGCATTCAGGGGATCACACGAGTACCCAGCTCTGAATATCAGGTGAGGGTTCTGTAACTACTACATGTGGGATGCTGAGAACAGGAGATGCCACATAATTAATGTCCTTCCTTAGGTAGGAATGCAGAGTCTGACCTGGCAGCGTATTGTTCCCCTCGGAGAGACACTCGCAAAGCTGAGGCAGCAGGGGTGTCGGGAGGAGGGCGTGGGCATACTCGTGCCATTACACACACTCCATGACAAGAAGAATGAGGGACTGAGGATTGGCTGCCAGTGCATGGTCTGGCTCTAACTGAGGTCCCTTTGTTTGAGGCCTCTAAGCCCTGACATGAAGTCTCAGGTTGTGTAGCAGCAGCATTGAAAGGATTCCTCCTGCATTTCTTTGGAGGCCTCCCTGTATTCAGAAACCCGAGTTTGCCCTCCTTAGACTGGGAAAGGTGTTGGCTGCCTGCGCATCGGTAGGGGGCTCCTAAAGGGCATGTGTCACTGGCCCGGGCCCTGGAATGCTGGCGGGGAGCTGCCCTCCCCATTGCAGCTCTCTGCAGTGATGGCTGTGGATGGCTGAAATGTGCCTAGGAGCTGACCTTTTAATTTTCATCACTTCTTGAAAAATTTGTTCGGACGAGTAATACATGACAGTAGAATGCATTTGGACACACCAAACATGAATGGAGTGAAACTTCTTGTTCTTCTGGTTGTACATGTTGTAGAATCTCACCGGTCGTGTAGTGCTATACGCACATAGGGTAATCATGTCCAATTCGTTCTGGTATCCTTCCTAACCCCATGCCCCTCCCGCTCCCTTCACTCCCCTCTGTCTATTTCTGAGTACCTCTGTTCTTCCCTAGCACCCCGCCCCCTCCCCCTTATTGTGAATCGGCATCTGCATATCAGAGAAAACACTGGGCCTTTGGTTTTGGGGGATTGGCTGATTTCACTTAGCTCCAACCATTTACCAGCAAATGCCAGAGTTTCATTCTTCTTTATGGCTGAGTAGCATTCCGTTGTGTATATACACCACATTTTCTGTACCCATTCATCTGTTGAAGGGCACTTAGGTTGGTTTCATGGTTTAGCTGTTATGAGTTGAGCTGCTATAAACATTGATGTGGCTGCGCCACTGTCGTATGCTGATTTTTAAGTCCTTTGGGTGTAGACCGAGGAGTGGGGTAGCTGGGCCAAATGGTGGTTCCATTCCGAGTTTTCTGGGGACTCTCCATACTGCTTTTCATAATGGTTACCCCAATTTGCAGGCCCGCCAGTAATGTATGAGTGTACCTTTCCCCCCACATCCTCGCCAACACTTATTCTTGCATTTATTCTTGATAACTGCCATTCTGTCTGGGGTGGGATGAAGTCTCACAGTAGTTTTCATTTGCCTTTCTCTAATTACTAGAGATGTTGTACACGTTTTCATATATTTGTTGATCGCTTGTATATCTTCTTCTGAGAGGTGTCTGTTCGGTTCCTTAGCCCATTTATCAATTGGGTTGTTTGCTTTTTTGGCATTAAGTCATTTGAGTTCTTTATATATCCTGGGGATTGGCACATCTATCTGATGTGCGTGTGGTAAAAAATGTGCTCCTGTATGGTAGGCTCTCTCTTCACCTCAGTGATTGTTTCCTTAGCCGAGAAGAAGCTTTTTCGTTTGTATCCATCCCGTTTATTGATTCTTGAATTGACTTCTTGCTCTTTAGGAGTCTTGTTAAGGAAGTCAATTCCTAAGCCGGCCTGGTTAAAATTTGGGCCTGGTTTCCTCTTCTATCAGGTGCAGAGTCTCTGTTCTAGTGCCTGTCTTTGATCCACTTTGAGTTGACTTTCGTGCATGGTGAGAGATAGGGGTTTAATTTAATTTTGCTGCATATGGATTCCCAGTTTTCCAGCACCATTTGTTGAAGAGGTCCTCTTTTCTCCAATGTATGTTTTGGGCACCTTTGTCTAGTATGAGATAACTGTATTTTTGTGGGTTTGTCTCTGTGTGCTCTGTTCTGTACCATTGGTCTACATGTCTGTTTTGGTGCCAGTACTATGCCGTTTTTGTTACTGTGTCTCTTGGTAAGGTTAAGGTCTGGTATTGAGATGCCTCCTGCTTCCCTCCTCTTGCTTGGGATTGCTTTGACTCTTCTATTCTGGGTCTCTTATTTTTCTCAGTGAATTTCACGATTGCTTTTTCTAATTCTAG